ATTTTGTGAGAAGGATGCTAGTATTAATCCATAGAGAAGAAGCTGTCATAAAACCATAAATAAAACAGACCTTACATTTTATTATTTACTTTTCTTTTCTTGGATACATTTATTTTTAAAGCAGAAGGGTATGATCCACAAACAACAAAAATGGAAAGCCATGCTTTCAAATTTTTATGTCTATGTTAATTTTGCTCTGTTCCCAGCTACAAGAGCATTTATTACTGAAAAGAAGACAGAAAATATTTCAAGTTCCACTGAGATGACCTTCCTTGTGAAATATATAGACTCATTATTATTTAAACCGCATTGTCATTCCCTTTGAAATTCTTAAAAAAAGAAAAAGAAAAACTCCAAATGTTTTGCCTCATTTCAGCTTTCTATGCAACAGTCATTCCAGTTCTAAGCAAAAGTGAAACTACAGCATATAAAGGCATACATTAACTGTTGGAATACCTGAAGAACCAGGTGGGGACAGATTCTCTGGGAGAAAATCAATGTGGTTGCTAAGAGTCAACACTGACTTGATGGCGCGTAATCAAATTCTGATGGAATATTTCTGATGCATTATATTTTATTATTCTTACAATTACTACTGCTACATTTAACAATATCCAGGGCAACATAATATTGGCCAGCTTTTTGAGACTTTTCACTGAAAATTACAAGCTAGGTTGCAAGATTAAGAAGTATCAACATGGTAAGTCAGAGTTACTCCAAAATTATATTTTTAATATATCTATCTTATCTTGGCATCTCTTTTGCTTGCAAAATTTGTTGATTTTGTTGATTCTGATGATCAAGGTAGTCAATGCATGGTACTTCTCTCAGTGCAACCCTAAGAATTAATCTGGGTAGCTAAGCAGAAGGCAAGTCAGAATTTTGACTAGATTCTATATACCATTTATACATACAGAAAGTTAACGAAGGGAAGATCACTAAAAAATGCTGCCAAATGCTGATCCAGTCTAATTTGAATGTTCCCAAACTTAAAGCACAAAACTTGGTTACACTGTCTCTTCACTAAGAGGTAGCAGTGCTGTAATTCTTAAAACCAAATTAACAGAGTCAGAAGTTACCTCTAACATTTACAGCATACAGGAGAGACTAGTCTGATAATTTTTTGGAAGAGCCATCTACCTCCTCGCCTGAAAAATTCAAGCCCTCAACTAACTTTTATTTCCTTTTTATGGTCATGGCCTTCCTTCCCTAAATACATAAATTCTAGAGAATGGAGAAATGGAACACAAGATTAAGATCAAAATGTCTTTCCTTCAAATGCCTCCAGGTTGAAGGCTGTGTCCAAAAATCTTCGGAGTGACACAAGATGAGTGTTTTTGTTACCTGTCGCTGGAGCAGCAGCTGGTTCACGACCAACATACCTTAAGATTCAAGAGGAAAGATGATCTAAATTAGAGATATATCTGAAGTAGGTGTAGATGTAGTAATACCTACTAACACTGTATTTCCACTGAATGGCTGATTATACAGGAGATATATATCTGCTACAGCATCCACATCTTACACAGGCAACCAATAGTTCAGCCAACTTTTAACCAGCTTTATGAGCAACAGTGAAGCAGGCAGTCGTCCACACGGATTTCCTCACCACTCTATTTTCCAAAAAGCTTTCATATCTCTACTGTAGACTGGTGGTCCAAGCAGATTCACGCATGTGGTCTAAGCCTGGAAATTTAGATTCTCTAGGAGCCCACTGATTCTCTCACAAGGCAGCTCACAGAGGAACTGCTACTTACTGGCTGAACGTGCTCTGCACATCGCACGTTCCAGGCTTACTGCCCGGTGCTAAGTGGATTTCAGGTAATAATTAATGCCCGATGCAAGCATCGTTACCATATAGGTCGAGTATGGTTCACAATGGTCCGGAAACGAGGTTTGACATAGTCGTAGTAGCCTATGTTCTTGTGCTCTTCTTGACACCAAACAAGCTCAGCTTTAGCATACTTCTCAATTTCCTCTTTTAGCAAATCAAAAGGAAATGGTGAGATCTAGAGAAAAACATTACAAAAAACCCTCTGAAATATAAAGATTTAACGTTCTGCAGTCACACACCTTATTCCCAAGACATTTCACTACTGTGTATCACATGCACATCAACAGGGATGATAAAGGTGATCTATGTATCAAAGCAAACCAAACAGTCTGCATTTCTTGCAGAGATGTGAGGATTAGAATGCAGTTACTCTTCATATCCTTCAAAACTTCCATCTTTTAGAATAGTAAGTGTGAGAACATACATGAACATGCAAATTAAAATACAAATGTTGGTAAAGATTTTCATTTTAAAACTTTGCAGTTTAGTGGAGAAATGCAACAGAAAGAGATTTATGAAAGCACACGTACAAAACAGAAACGGATTGGAACTGATTGCTCTTTCCACAACTGCCAGCCATGTGGACGATCCCTTTCGAAGAAGGCTCCTTGCACTCCAAATAATGAGTTAAGAAATTATCGTGTGTCTTGACCCAATGAGAAATAATAGTTTTTCACACACACAGTGTCAGATTATTCAACTGTACTAAGTGGAAGTACAGTTAGTAGTTTCACTACTCTTATATATTTGAAGTACAGGCTTTTCTTGTTGGCTTTTTATTTTACCTCAATGCAAACATTTGCAGCTACCTGCATCTAGTACATACGTCTTAAAATTCACTATTATGAAATTCCAAACTCAAAATTAAGCAATTTCAGGTCTCACTGTTCTAAGAGGAAGAGGACATTGCACAAATGGTTTCATTTTTTTTTTAAATACCAATGCTGCTTAACGGAATGAAATTTGAAAGGCGTATCTGATAAATGTCAAAATAGAGAGAACAGAACGTAAAGTTCTGTTAATGAACACTAAGCACGACATTTGCCAGAAGAATTTTAACTATTATCTTTAAACCAAGAAGGATTCCCAATGACATCAAATCAAAAGCCTATCTCAATTAATTTAAAAAATCTATAGCATGCAATACTTTCAGGTAGTTGTGAGAATTTTCATACATTTTCACAAGTTACTTTAGTATGTCATGCACGACTTGCTAATATGAAGCCAAAATAAAGCAGAAGAAAGACTTTTTCACTCAAATGCACATTATAGACACCAGGTTTTTAACTTGCAAATGAAATGGAATAAAACATCACCGTGACAAGTAGCATCACAATAATGATGCAAATGATCAATATTATTGTTAACATTTTATGGGAGAAAGATGGATTTGTAGTTTTCACAATAAACTAGATTCCATCAGGTAGGATTTTAATCTTGGCATCCATTATCACAATCTTATATCCTAGTCACCAAATCAGAACAGCTCTTGTTTCAATACAGAACACTGCTGTTCTTTTTTCCTGCTATTCTTACTGCAAAAAAAAATTGGATTCTGACTCACCAAGGGGTCAAAGCTTGGAGCTGATTAGTACACAAATGTAAAATTGTTTCTAAAACAAGGGTTCTATGGCTTCTAAGGCATTTGTTTTACCTGCTCCAATCTGATTATAGCCACTGCTTTTTCCAGATCTTGGTTTTTCCTTTCTTTAATAAGATCATAATACACCTTCCCAGTACAGAAAATCACCCGATTCACATCCTCAGGAGATTCAGCTGCAACTCCTTCTTCTGGAATCACACGCTGAAACCTGGTACCTAATAACAAAACAAAACACTTTACTATAAAACCCCTGAAAGATGGATTTGGTCAAGAGAAAAGTTAAAGTGGTCAATAGTATCCCTCATTCTTCTGATTCCACATATATGAATATTCTGGATTATCTGCAGAGGATTCCCAGAGGATCAGGCTAGTATGGGGATGAAGCTAGATCCCGCTTGTCCAGATCCCCAGGAGTCCATTTTACCTGCTCCCCTGAGAGATCACTGCCCATACTTACACGACCTCTAGGCCAGTGTTTTTCATGGCTGGGGAATTCTGGAAGTTGAAGTCCACACATCTTAAAGCTGCCAAGTTTGAAAAACATTGATCTAGTCCAATCCCACTGCATGGACAGAGGGCTGAACTGGATTAGCAAATATCTAAAGTTATCTGGATCTGTTCCCAGGCTATTTCCAAAGATACTGCAAACAGCTGTTTCTACCCTTTTAAGCTCTAAATAACCTCATTTTTTAACTGGCCCCTTTCTCCATATCTTTCTGTTATTGGGAGAAAGGTTGTTGGTGACTGGAATTCGGGTGTTCTATTTGGCTGCATCTCAATTTGGAATCTGTTCCATGCTGGCTGGGGAATTCTGGGAATTGAAGTCCACACATCTTAAAGTTGCCAAGGTGGACAACCACTGCTCCAAAGTATCTTCTCTGAATTATTTCTGAAGCACTGCATAGCCCTATAGTAGAGCAAGGAAATCCTGTTTAATCCATTGCTGCAACCTGGAACTTCAAGTTCCAAAGAAAGCGAGAAGAGCTTATCATGATTTAGCAGATTTACCAGCCAGCCATCTGTGTATGTGTGTGTGTAAAATTAAACACACATGCAAACAGGAGCATCATCATCATCATCATCATCATCATCATCATCATCATCATCATTATTTTAATAGCTCAAAACACTGGCAAAGATTTATTCAAAGGAGAAACAGGATTTCCCTCTCAGCTAATGGATCTTGGCAGTAGAGGATGGTCTACTCAGATGTGAAGTCACACTGCGCTGAGGGAGGGAGACTGGCTCCCAAGTTAGTGCGGACAGGACTCCAACTCTAATCTTGTCCAGGAACTTCCGCAAAACGGAGTCCAATCTTCAGGCATATTTGTGAGTTGCTATTTTTGTCTCTGCGCTCTAAAGTGGAAATCAGTGGCTACAGAGGCACAGGATTATAGCAGGGGGACAGACAGACACAGGGAAACTCTACAATATAATTTAAGGCAATGTAAGAAGATGAGGAAGTCATAACAAGGGAGGGGGCAAACAAAAACTTTTCAAAACAAGCAAATCTACCTGACACCATTTCATCAAAGCTGGATTTTGCATCAGGATGTCTCAGCAATGACTTAGGTGTGAAGATAATTAGCTGTAAAACCATTAAAAAGTGAGTTTGTCATCATAGTACATAAGTGCCAGTATATTCAAACAAAGTCTTATACGCATTGAATGAAACGCTAAATTGTTTCAACCAAATCATCAATAAAGAGCATTCAGTAGGCTGCCCCATAACACCCTACTGAAAATGTCTCTCTACTAATCAAGTTGACTTAAATTGGGTCCTGCCCTTAAATGAAGGTCTGCAACTCCAGCCCATTCAATTATTTTTTAAGAAAAAAAAAACTGTGCTTCATAAATCAAAGCCATGGCAATCAGTCACTGCAAAAAATGAAATAATCCAAGTGTTTAAGGAAGTTTCCACCAGCTTCCACCACAGTATGCGGAAACTGTAATTCATCAGAATTACATTAGAAAATTCCAACTGAGGCAAGTTGTCTTGCTGCAATAGAAGAATATGTCTAAGAATCTAGTCATACAGTTTTCATCCCTTATAACCACCTACCCATTCACTATAGTCTGGATCAGCTGAAAAAGTTGGAGCAGCCCAAATCCAAATATAAGTATAAATATAAATATCTAAAATGGGCAGAAAAATAATTTCTAGGTGGGCCCTAAACAATTTCCTCATCATTTCTATTGTTTAGGTCATTTCTGTGAATAAGTCTGATCTTCCATCATGCAACACTTTGCAGTCTGTAATTAACGGGCAATGCATAAAAGAAAAGCACAATCATTTAACGACTTACAGGTTTCCTGAACGGCAGCAAGATCTGCCTTCTGAGGACATGGAAATAACTGGCTGGCGTTGAGCAGTTCACTACAATCCAATTGCAGTCATAGAGCTGAGAAACCTCAAAGTCATCATCAAATTGCTGGAGAGGGACAGATTAGAGATATTAGAAAGCCAGCCACTGCTTTCACACCATCTGCTACATCCACTTTATTTTCCTAAGCGTTTAGACGTTGGTGGGAACAAAGGGCTTCAGAACGGCAGGTGAAATGCAGCCATTCAAGACTCATCTTGGTCAGACAAACTTGTACCACTTAGATGCTTCTGTGAACTCTGCCTTTGTACTATCAAAAAAGGCACATGGAGGGCAAAATTTATCAACTTAAGTGAAACACAGCTTCTTGTGACAGCACACAAAGACTCATGTCTTTGTGTCTGTATCTGAAGTTGTTCTCAGCTGTGATTAATGTCAATTACCATGTGGTATTTTAGGGGTTCGGGATCTTTAAGTTAGGAAAACAAACTAATGTTTTTATTCCTACAAGAATGTATAGGAAATTTTGAGTCAAATTATATTTCTGTTGAAATGGCTGAAATGCTCAATACCTAAAATGCTACATATCAAAGTGATTCCACAAAGTGCTATTAAAAGTGTTTAATTCTTTGCTAAGTTTAGAAATAGTTAGCCCAAGATCTCTTTTCTGCAGGAAGGGGGTTGCCCAGCCCATAAAAATATTTAGAGTTCCCCATTTTCATCAAGTACTGTCAGGATTGATTATAGATAACAGGTTTCCAAAACCCTGCTCAAGATCTAAGATATTTTAAGATATTTTTCTAGTTAGAAGCAATTTTGTGGATAAACACTGGGATCCTGCAAATACTTTTAAACACATAATCGATGAATAGGCAATGGTACTTTTATTTGGCCTTTACACTGCCTTTAGTCTTTGGACCCATGACTAAACCCCAGTCCTCTCTTCCCACAATGGAGGATAAAGCTACTCTCAACAACTAACTGTGAAGCTATTCATATTTCCAATATCAGGGGTTCTCATGCCAGTTGTTGAGAATGTGAGCAGGATGAAATTACACCAGTGGCCTAATTGTGGGATTATAATAAACAGCTCCTTGGCTGCTGCAGAAACAGATCGCTGGACAAAATAGGTACTAAGTGTCATTCAGGACAGCTCTTCCTCTGTTCTAGGACAACAGTCTAGATCCACAGTTAACTTCCCTGGTATCTTAGAAACTGAAAAGTTCAGCCACCAGGAAAATTTCTCTGTTGTTAATGTAATGACTGAGAATACAAAAATGACGTGTTCTATGTAACCTACTGCAAGTCATGTGGCAACTCTGCTCAGCTCAGATAATTTGAGTAATGGCTATGAGGTCATGTTTGCTGCATTCTGTAGTTCTGCAAAGTTAAATAATATGTGTATCAATTGGCCCTCTATTGGTACATACACATTTTGTATTTTATTATTACACAGGTGATCCTAGTTGTGACTTTATTGATTTTCTAGCAAAAGAAGCTTCTAGCTTCTCTCTAGCAACTAGAGAGTTTTTCCCAATGTCAAATGATTTTATGCTTAATGTATTTTATTATTACACAGGTGATCCTAGTTGTGACTTTATTGATTTTCTAGCAAAAGAAGCTTCTAGCTTCTCTCTAGCAACTAGAGAGTTTTTCCCAATGTCAAATGATTTTATGCTTAATGTATTTTATTATTACACAGGTGATCCTAGTTGTGACTTTATTGATTTTCTAGCAAAAGAAGCTTCTAGCTTCTCTCTAGCAACTAGAGAGTTTTTCCCAATGTCAAATGATTTTATGCTTAACCTACCAGATATTTTATATATATGTTTTTCTTGAAGTCTGCTCAATTAACGTCACTGAAGGATTAAAACCAGTGCTTGATCGGGAACATTGTTAACAAGGATGAAATGGCAGCTGAAGAGAAGGCAACTATGAGAATCAATCGATAAACCTACTTACTGGGAATGCATCAGGATCATCATTACTCATCTGAAGGAACCTCTCCGGCCTGGCTGAAGAATGTTCTGGGCCCTGATGATGATGTCATTTAAAGGAAAACAAGTTTAATTATGTACCCTCTAGATCCAAATAAAATTGTCATTCCAGGCACAAGAGCACTTGCCAGCCTCTCCAGCACAGTGCAATACAAAATCAACAGCTACCGAGGACCGCAACATGTTCAAACTGGTCCAGCAAGATGTTTTACAATACAAATCCTGCTTGAATCATTACATAAATTTATATCACTTGATTCAAACAGATGAGTATAAGCTGTAGTCTTTATCACTGTTGGCTGCAGCACAGATTTAGTAGAAGATTGCTGATCACTACATGGGTTTATTATATGTATGGAACACATTATAATTCTACAAAATCTCTCAGCATCAAGACCTAATAAAATCACTGGGGCTTATTCTCCAGTGTACATTAAATCGCTTAAAATCACTTGCGCTCTCCTTCACTAATGCTTTTATTCATCACGACAGATTCACAATACAGAAGTACTACTGATGGGAAGAGGATTCCTGCACTAGGCAGGGGGGTTGGAACAGAAGACCTCAAAGTCCCCTTCTAATCCTATGATTCTATGAGCCTATGAACCTATTTAAATAGGAATGGCAAAATACTTAGAAAAAATGCATTATTTCAAATCTGCAGTATGGAAACAAGTTGCTTTTTGCCAACAGAGAAGTATTATTGTGATTGCTGAAAGGCCTACCATCCCTTCCATTCCATGGGGCAAAAGGAGGACAATTCCATTGTGACGAACCCACTTGGCTTGCCCAGAACTGATAAACTGGTCAATGATGCATTGTGCTGTGTTGTGAAAATCACCAAACTGAGCTTCCCAGCACACAAGCGCATTGGGACTTGACATCGCAAAACCAAGTTCAAAACCTAAGCAAGAAAGGAAAGATGCAATTAAACCCAATATTTGCCATAGTGGAAAATACAGGTAGTTCTCATTTAGCAGCCACAACTGGGACTGGCAACTCAGTCATTAAGGGAAGTGGTCACTAAGGGAAACAGCAACTGTGCTTACGATTTGGCTTCAGCTTTCTTTGCTTTACAGACCATCAATGCAAGGATTGGTCGTAACATTACTTTTTCATCATCTTCGTAACTGCGAACAGTCACTAAGCAAAGCAGTTGCTAAATGAGGATTACCTGTATCTGTAGCTCAGAATTGAATTACTGGACTCTTGGTGTTTAGCCAAGCTTCTGCTAAACATCTATAGGATGAGAAGCCAGATCAGATAACAACAGAACCCAGCTAAACACAATACCTTCTGCTATGCTTAGACACACTGAAAGAAGAGTTACCAGCCAGGATCAGAGGCTAAAGTAAGGTGTGATTAGATCTCTTATGCTGAAGCATCACCAATTAAGTACTGTAATAGAAACCCTTCCTTACATCCTATGGTTTCTCTGTAAAAAAATAATCTGTCCTGTGCATCTCCATCTTTGAAACTGTCAGTTTCTGAAACGGAAACATGAGTTCTCAGCCTTTGTATTGAACTGAACTGAACTGAACTGAACTGAACTGAACTGAACTGAACTGAACTGAACTGAACTAACCTAACCTAACCTAACCTAACCTAACCTAACCTAACCTAACCTAACCTAACCTAACTTAGTTTAGAAAAGCTATACACCTATTCAGGAAAGAAAGGTGGTAGCTCTGAGAATAAACCCAGGCTCCATTTAGTTATATGGCATTCTTACTGAAGCATTATCTACTTTATGGAGACAGATAATTAACTGAAGTAACACAGGAAAAATCCATAGTACACATTAAATGTGGCTACAGGCAAAGTTGGTGTGGTTTCTATTCCTAAAGTGGTCATATTCTAAATTCAGCTGGAATGCCTTCAAATGTTAAATGAATCTCTCTTATTATTTTTTCCCTTCTCCATAAAAAGGTTTAACAAATTTACAGTAAAATATTGACACTGGAGATGAATTGGGGCATTAAATAATTGCTAAAAGAATGGAACAAAAAACCACTATCGAATGTGAAGTGACTACCATAATTCTCGTACAGCTACTGTTCAGGCAGAATAATAGCAAATGGCTAGAATAGCTGTAATCACTCTGCAGCTACATTGTGTTATTCCAGAGTACAAGATTTCAAGCAGAGTTGCAGAGTTCATGAAAACATTAAACAATATTAATCTATTTTTTTTTAATAACCCATGCCAACTCTGAGCTATTTATCTTTATGTCTCCTGTGTAGCTATGGTTGACAATGCCTGCCAGATAAAAGATCCTTCTCTCACCTCCCCTGTCCTCAAGCTACCCTTTTCCTGAAGTGTTTGTATTTAAATAGGTCACAAGAGCACAAAGGCCCCTAGAACAGCATTGTAGGATGCCCATCAAGACCTAATCTTCAACTAAAATCATAGGGAGGGATAAGAAAACAAATACTCTACCATATAATGTTCTGATAGACGACTGTATGCATATAAGTGCATTGTTCTGAATAAAAGATCCTCAAGTAAAGGTACTGAAGCAGATTACAAATATTTGAGTAAAACTAGAATGATGGGGAAATCTGATGGGGAATAATAAATAAGCTGGAAGAGTACACTTCCCCGTGTGGAATCCATTTTCCATGCCCAGTCTTAGTTTGTATATGTGAAAAAAATCATTCTGGAGTTCTTGAGATCCAATTCAACTCTGCAAGCAGCAGCAGCAGCTGCTGGACCTTATTTGGGCTTCTTTGGCTTCTCTCTCAATGTCAGTAGGGCCAGCTCTGGTTAGAAGTTGGAATGGGGGCCACCTAGAAATTCCAGGGCTGTTAACTAGACTGGAAAGTCCAAAAACACTTTGGAAGAGGATAATAGTTAACTGTTTCCATATTGTTGTTAACTAAACTACATGGATGCCTCAGTAAAGTGACGAGGAGCCAAACCTAACTCAAAGGAGTCACCTGAAATTAGCTTTTTATCTGTGAAAAAACAGCTAGGAACAGCCAACCTGTTGCATTTGTTCTTGTTTCTTTTAGAGAAGTATCAACAACAGAGTGATTAATAGGTTGACCAAAGGAGCTACATTCATTTCCATCCTTTGCTTCTATGCCTCACGAGAATGTCAGATTTTGTCTCTTTCCGCTGTAAAGAGATGCTGGTGCTGATGCAGAATATCTGTAGAGGGAGGAGCATTACTTTGTTTTTTCTGTGTGTGTGTGTACTGCAGGGGAGAACCACTTGTTAATATTCCCTCTTTTGCCTTTGTTTCCTCCTTCCCCACTTATATACCCCATTCTTAGGTACAGAGGATCATTCTGAATAATATGATCGG